GACCTGCAGCGCTGGCACAATCGCGTGATTAACAACCTCCTGTACTACCAGAGCAATTATCTGCTGCTGCTGGGCGCGGGGCTGCTGCTGGGCGGGTGAGTGCCACGGCGGCTGGCAGGGCACGGCTGAGAAGAGAGTCCGGTCATGCCAAGTCGGCGCGAGGCGCGAAACGCGCGGCGGACATTCGGTCATCGAACGACGTGCAGGCTCAGTCGGTGCGGGCGACGAGCGGAAGTAAAACGGGGAAGGGTTTTTTAAGAATTATTTTCCTTATTACTATTGAAATCTGAGCTCCTTAGGAGACAACATTTCGTCTTCCAAGGAAGCCAAGGACAATCTCCGCTTCAGACTTGGGCGGGGGAAAAGATGACACTTTTTTTTTTAGTTGCTCCTGCGACTTTGAACGCCCAAGCGATGGGCAAATGCGAAAGAGAATCGGGCGTCTGTGCCTTTAATGGCCCTGGAAAAAAAGAAAAATGCGGGCGCTGGAACCGGCATGGCCAACAAGTGGGGGTTCTGGGAGTTGTAGTCAGAGCGCATCTGGAAGAGGGCAAACTGCGGCTCAGTCTCAGAAGGTTTTGTGCTTAAGTTGAGTCTACGGTTGTTGGGTTTTTCCTGCCCATTTGTATTCCTATTTTTTGTGTGACAGGCAGGAGTTAGAGGATGATTTTCATCTGAATTGCATTTCCATGTGTAAATATTATATAGACTGTGTGTGTGTGTGTGTCTGTGTGTGTGTGTAGGCAAGCTGCTTCAGTAGTCCAAGCAATGTTAGGTGATGTACAACATGTTAAAACAAATAAATAAGAACACGGTAATCAAATATATTGTGTGTGTGTGTGTGTGTGTGTGTGATATTGGGGAAGGAAACCCTATGACTACCAAGGATAAAATCCTAATATCAGTGAGCGGGATCACAAATCCCTCTGCCCAAAGTGTTGGGGGACCTTGAATTTCCCTGCTGTTAAACTGAGAGTTGGTGTGTTCTGTGATTAGTGCAATTCCATTAAAAAGAGAGAAAACCTGCCTAAATGAGCAGCCGCCACCACCTGATTAAGACATTTAGACCATGTGGCCAACCAGGTAGCCTGTGCTGGCTAGGCCTGGTGACACCACACTAGGATGCCCTTCAGTTCTGGTAAAACTAACTAGATTATGGTAAAAAGTCCATAATCTTTTCTTGCACATCTAGGAGCAACTGTTAGTCCCCGTGTAAAGTAATTGTGGGTGGTCTGTGGCTTGTTTTTCTAAGCATTTCATTTTATAAAGGCTCTGTTGCCTTTTTCACTACTGTGATGTATAAAGAACTGATCCGATTTAGCTGTATTCAGCTGCTTCCTTTTCTGTCCTTGGACTTTGTCCCTGGGCATTTAATAGCAGGTGTTCCTTGGTGGTAGGACCAAGCCCAGGTAGATTTCTTCCTTTCTTTCTTTGACTGCTTTAGCTTTGGCTTACACTTAATTTAAAATTAAAACACAGAAAATCAATACCGTAACTATAATAACAAGAAAATCTTTGTGTCCCCAGGCAGCAGAATCTTCAAGCATCCATAAATGCCCCTCTGAAAAGCCATGTTTTCACAGCTCATCAAAAATGTAATTGTGTGGACCCTTATCAGTCAGAATTTCGGCCCAGGCACACAACTGAAACAGCTTTGCTCACTGTCCCCTAGACAGGGCTAGTGCATCTGTCATGACCCTTTTGGACCTCTCAGTGGCTTTTGATATCTTTTGGACCAACTGCAGTGGATTGGAGGCATTTTTATGGTGGTTCTGCTCCTTCCTTAGCAGCGCTTCTAGTCAGTAGTGGTAGGGATGGGGAGATTGCATAGTAGTGGCTCCCTTGTGGTACCACAGGGTTCAGTTCTCTCTCCCCTGTTATTTGATATCTATGTGAAGCCATCAAGGAGGTCATCCAGTAGTTTGGAGTCCGTTGTCATCAGTGTGATGATGTACCCACCTAGGTCTATATTGCGACCCTGGGCTGCAGTGGAGATGTTGAAGTCTTGTCTTGGTGTCCGGAGGTTGGAGAAAACAGACTTACTGTATATACTCATGGATAAGCCGAGAATTTTAGGTGCCACAATACACCTAAAAAATTGGGTTCAGCTTATCTGTAGATGGGCTTACCCATGAGTATATATGGTAATACTTTTTTAAGTACCCATACATACTCATGGATAATCGCATCCGCAGATAAGCCGACCCTCAAATTTTTAACCCAAATACCATGAAAAATGCGCCACTGTGGGTAAGCCAATTGTGAAAATTAAAACATGAAAATTCTGAAGATCGGCTTATCCGTGGGTGGCACATTTTTCATGGTATTTGGGTTAAAAATTGTAAGGTTGGCTTATCTGCAGATGTGTTTATCCGTGAGTACATAAGGTAAATTGAACCCTAGCAAGATGGAGCTACTGTTTATACATCAAGGTTCTCCTGTGGTTCCAGTTTTGATTCTGGATGGGGTTGCATTAATCTGGAAGGAGCAGGTCTGCAACTGGGGGATCCTCCTGGACTTGTGGCTCCTACTGGATCAGCCGGCGGAAGCTGTGGCTTGGGGGGGCTTTGCACAGCTTTAGCTTGTGTACCAGCTTCCTGGGATGTAAGAACCTTGCTGCAGTGCCTCATTGCCCTCATCACCCTGTTTAGACTGCTGCAACATGCTGTACATGGGGCTGCCTTTCAAGACCATCCGGAAGTTTCAATAGGTACCAAATGCAGTGGCCCAGGTGCTCACAGCAGTTGTAGGGTCATTACCCCTGTATTGGGGGCCCTGCATAGGCTTCCTAGTAGCTTCCAAGTGCAATTTAAACTGCTGGTTTTAATGTATAAAAGCCCTTTATGGCTTGGCTCCAAGTTAATTGCAGCACCACTTCTCTTTGTTGGAGTTGGCCTGCAGATTTGATTGTGCCAGGAGAAGCAGCTGGTTATTCCCTGTTTTCAGGTGGTCAAGGGAGGCGAAGCCTGGGAGCATTTTTTCTGTAGTAGGGCTATCCCTTTGGAATGGCCTCCCATTGGGAGGTCTCTATAGATGCCATTCCTTCAGATTGGAGATCCTCAGCAATTGCTCTCTAATAGATTGCACTAGAGGGACAAGTTCAGCTCAGAGAAGTCAATCTCAGAGATATTCAGGCCCTAACTATGTTTCTCACCCATCTCCCTCACTCCGGGCATTTAGGAGATCCCAAACCATCAGCAACTACAGAAAGGTCTCAGAGCGGGCCACACAAAACGTCTTCTGGATTGAATGCACATCCTGACTGTATATTGTACTCCCATTTGAGCCGAAGTGAAGATTGACTTTTGGGTCTCATCCTGTAGGTACTTCCAACCCATGCTGATTCTGCTAAGCTGCCTGCTTATCAGTCTGCTGTTTGGAGGCTTCATCTGGGCAGCTGAGAACAAAGCTCCCGTGCGACGCTTCCGGCGGAATTACCCTGGCACGTGTTTCTTTGCCATCCTCAGCGCTGCGTACTTCCTGGTGTCTCTTTTTGAGGGCTCTGCCACCTTCTTGATTTTCATCGCCCTGCCCATAATGTGTGAGTTCCCAGCTGTGCGCAGCAGGGGTGCATCCAGTGCTCCCTGCCTCTTTTGTGTCTCTCCCATTCTGTTTAGCATATGCTTTATTCCCAGAACATGGCGGGCAGAATTTTGCAAGTGTGGACTTTGTCATGACATGCAGGCAAAGAGAATTAGATTTCACTCAGCATGAAAGAGCAAATTTCAGTTTTCGTGGGCTAAGGATCAATATGAAAACGCAGAGGCAGTTGCTGCCAAAGACTCCTGCACTCAGGAGATGAATACTGGAGCAGCTCTAGTTCTCCCATCTTATGATGCTGCAACCCATATGCTGCACATAGGTTTGGGTAGAGAGAAGACAATGTTTTGTTCAGGCTCCAAGCATTAAAACAACTTGCATGATCTGCAGGAGTGAAGAAACTGTGGCGCTTCAGATGTTACTGAACTAATTACTGTACACCACGCTCTCAGCCGGAAAATGAAGTTCAGTGAGATCTGAAGAGGCACAGATTCCCAATCCTGCATTATCTCCTAGCTGTGGAATTTGCACAGACCAAACTTCCCCTGGGAGGACTGATCTCTTGCCTTTAGCAGAATAGGGAATATGAGGATCCGACGCATAGCAGGAGAAGGTCGTGCTGCCTATTCCACTGTTACCAATGAGCACCCCATTCCCTTGCAGTGAGCCTCATCCATGCCTCCCTGCGCCTGCGGAACCTTAAAAACAAGATTGAGAACAAAATTGAGAACATTGGACTCAAGCGCACGCCGATGGGGCTGCTACTGGAAGCTGTCGGACAGGAGCAAGAAGCTGGATCCTAGACCTTCAGCATCGGTTTCCCTTCCAACTGATGCCCACGTGCGTATCTTTCTGCTTGCCCCTGTCTAGCAACCTGGCTGTGAGTTCCTGTGGAAGATACAGTAGCTTCTAGCATACCGCAAACTATCAGCAGAACTCCCAGCCACCGGGTAACAGCAAAATAAAAAGGGAGAGGAAATGGACTGAAATCAGCCTAACAAACAGCCTAACAGTTTAACATTAAGTATTCCCCATTGGAATCCGTACCTGTTTTGCTCTAGAAAGGAAGGGATAACAATGGAAGAAAGCTATAGTTAAAAAAACCTTATAGTAAAATGCTGGTCTGGACTACATAGTTGCTGGTTGAGAGAAGAACAAGAATCGAGATCAGAAGCAAATGAAATCGGTGTTGTTCTCATTCGATTTTCTCCAACCAGGTATGGTCCAGATGTGTTGGGACTGCAACTTCCAAAATGCTCCAGTTCGCTGGGAATTTCCTGGGTTGCAGGCGGCTATTCCAGGGAGGCTGGCTTGTTAAGACACAGTATTATTCAATATTTACCTAACCCCACTGCTCTAAGAGCTTCGGAAACAGTATTAAAACTAATCTATGTAGCAACCCCATTGCTTAGGTCAGTATCATGTATCACTATATCACACCTGGAGGGCTGGGGGTTTGGAGAGCAGACTGCCCCGGCCCCCAATATGTGCACAGCAGAGCTGAGATTGAAATGGGGGAGTTCTGGATGGTTCTTCATCTTGCTTAGTCTTGGACTGCATCACTTCTTCTGCAGAATTTCTGGGCTCTTGATGCTTAGATGGAGGCACCAAGTAAAGCAATTTGGATGGGGTTTGGCAGTAGAAGGGAGGAAGCCAGTTTGAAGAAGATCTAGCTAAACCTTCGAATGAATGATGGAGGCTAATCATTAATCTTGTAAAGATTCTTTTCATGAAGGCTTTTGGGCAGAGGGGAAGGCTAACTCCCAAGTGCTGGAAAAGTACAATATTACGATGCAAAAAATTTGGACAATCACAAAATGTCATCAAATGGCAATTTGTTTATTTTAATCTCTATACTAGCATCTGGAGGTTGTCTGCATTTTTGCAGCCCAGATCTGGTAGCCCTAACGAGATATTGCAGACTATACATTCAGGTTCAGAGGTGTGGAACTGTCCCCGCTTTTAAATTTATTTAAACAAGAAAAGAACTTTTGTCTCTTTCCAGTTAGCAACTTCAAAACCTTGTCCTGGCTCGTGCATAGCAATAAACTGCAATGCAATTTGTTTGCTTTTAGATTAGCTTGACATGCAAAGCTACCCATTATGACTTAGTAGGATAGGATGTGTAAAGCAGGCTATTATGATTTGTTAACAAACCATAATGCTAAGTCTGGCTTTGCGTTATGTGTGAATGCAGCTATTTTATTCCACAACAGTTCCCCATATTCAAGTCATTTGAAATTCAGATGGTTCTTATCCAAAACTGAATAGAACAGACCAAACCTGATATTGTGCATAGTTCTAATTAGTATACAATATATACAAATGTATAGTTGAGGTGTTCTAATACTGATCATATTCCTTTCTTTATATAAAGTGTTGTTTTGAAAATGATGGGACAAAGCAGTAATTAAATACATCCTTTTGCTTAAAAAGAACTTTCTGTCTAAGGCTTTTAAGAAGATAATTTAGCAAGAAAAGGGTCCTTCTATACTTCCTGGTTTGCACTTTGTTTGCTACAGGCACCACCCTTGAGCAAGCTCATAGCAGAGGTCTTCCTGGTACATAGTTTGCCACTCTTAAACTAGTCATTAAGTTACACATATTCTGTTCAGGACATAAATATGTACACTTGTCTTCCCGCCCACACAGTTGCTTTGCAGTAGGTAAGAAAATATAAGCACCACATCCTTCTGAGTGTCATGGGCCATTATGGAAAAGGCTTTTTCCCCAAAGTCATACTTAAGATTAATCAGTTGAGGTCTGAGGCAAGCCTCTTACAATCTTACTAGAAGATGCAAAGCTTGCACGCCAGCATTTGTAGGCCTGCATGCTATACTGGATGATTGGTGGGGGACAGGGGGGAAGAGATTCACAATTCCCGAGTAGGAAATTGTACTTTCTGAGTTTTTCTGAAAGGTTTTATCATCACATACAATCCAGTAGAATTATGTAGCAAGTATTGTTTTTTTGGTTCTGTAAGCCATACAGGCTATAATGCCTATTTACAAAATACCAACAGCATCCAAAAACCTCACTGGTAGATTATGAACTCTCTCTCAATTACATTTTAGAGGCTGCCTTCCTCACATGTAGAACATATATGTGCAAACCCAACCATCTAATTGGAGTTGAAGGAACTAAGTGCAGAGTTAAATGTGTACAACTGCAGTTTGAAGGAATTGTTGCTTTTCATTTTGGGATTTCTTCCCATGTTAGTGAAAGAGGTCCAGGCTTGGAAGGGAAACATCTGATACTGGAAGTGATTTCCTCTCCATTTGCTCAGCTCTTGGAGGTGGCCTGAGAAGCTTGCCAGGAAGAAGCCATGAATCTTGTGCGAAGAGTGTCCCTCCATCAAACAGTATGTCGAAGGATGGGGAATGTGGGTTTCATAGCAGCAGAACCAAAGGTCTCTGAAGCTTTAAGCTTGGACATTACAGAGCTGAACTGCAGGCTCGTTCTGCTTTTATGCTTACTAAAGTCACTGGGACATCTTTGCAACTAGCAAAAGAATTGCAGAATGGATTTCAGTTGTTTGTAATCATGATAATTGATTTTAGATTAAGGGTTTAAGATGTTACTTTAGCTTTTCATGGTGTTGTGTCTTACTTTTATGTAAATGCAGATTTACTATGGAAAAGAGTCAAGTTTTGGAAACTGCTCCTCATGTGGAAATCCACAAACAAATTTGATTAAAGCTTTCCAAAAATGTACATAGATCTTTGATTTGCCCCAGTGTATACAGTGAACGCTCAGATCCAGATGCATATGAGACAAAGAACAGCATGAGTTACATTTATCTCAGAACAAAACAAAAAGTATTCTACAACTTAGTGTACCATTTTTAACTCTCTGCATATGTGAAATAAAGTCTTGTGATTTTCACGGCACTGTTTTACATGTAGCCTTAAATTTTGTCTGTTTTGCTCTACAAGCACTTTGCAGGTGTAGTGCCTTTGCTGAAACAGAGACAATTAGGGAGAATTTCAAACTTCCAAAGCAGCTGCACAAGATGGGGGCTGCTTTAATGATTCAAGAAAGATGCTTCATACACAGTCCTGCATGTTCCAAAGTACCAGTCAAAGGATTTGCAAAGCTCTGACATTTAGATAAGACGATTACACAAATATACCCAATACTCTGCTCTGTGAGCTGGAAACTTAAAAACACGTTCCTTTCAGATGTTGTGTGCATTACAGAAAGTCCTCGCTTAACAACCACAACAGGGACTGGAAAATTCAGTTAAGTTGGGCGGTCATTAAGCAAAACATCAAATGACTGCACCCAATTTTATGACATTTTTTGCAGTGGTTGTTAAGCGAATCACATGGTCATTAAATGAATCACAGTTACCCATTGATTTTGCTTGCTGGAAGCTGGCTGGGAAGGTCGCAAATAGTGACCATGTGACCCTGGGACATTGCAGCCATCATAAGTGCAAGCTGGTTGCCAAGTTCCCAGATTGCGATCATGTGATCGCAGGGGCACTGTGATGGTCATAAGTGTGAGGGCTGGTCATAAGTAGCTTTTAGTGCTGTTATAACTTCAAATGGTCACTAAATGAACAGTTGTTAAGTGAGGACTATCTCTACTCATTTCTAATTATAATCAGTGTAGGTTCTCCCTCCTCAATATTACCCCTTGATGACCCTAACCAAATGAAATAGGCATAGATTCTTTTACCCCATTTTTCCTCCATGAGGAAGTCTGAGGCATTTGTGGCACATTTCCATCTGTTTTATTCTCTTATCTACTCAAGGCAAGTCACAGTAAAATAGCCACAAAGTGTTCCTGTTACTAAGTGAAGCTTTAGGACACAGACTCCCAGCCTTGGTCAGATGTTGTCTAAGTGCTATCCTGCACTGTCTACATCAAGATCCTGATGGTGACATGAAGCTTTCACACATCACGGCCTCGTTTACAATCTTTATTATAGAAACCTTTTCTCCTTATGCACAGTGCTTCGTTTTACATTTAGATCCCCATATATAATCTATACATTAGTGTATATTAAAAAGACACACAAGACAGTGACTCCAATATGGCCCTTGTTCCTTCAGCCAGGGATGGGAGAGGGAGGAAACTGGAGCCCTCTTGGTTTCTCCCCTCCTCCCTCCTTCCCTCTGCTCCAAAATGACCTGGATTCCATTGGCACAGAGTTTAAACAAAGTGACTATTCCTTTTATGTGCAATTGTGAGAGCAGGGGAAAACCATCACACATTTTGCAATTACAGTGAGGATGAGGATGAGGATTATTACAGCGAAAGAAAAAACGGCAGGACGTTCCTTTCGTTTCTGTAAAATTGGGGGAGAGGGCAGAAAGCATGTCAGATGAAGGATGCAGGAGAAAATAAACTGTCCAGCAAAGAGAGTGGGAAAGGGTTTGCAGCCATACTTTTAGAAGAGTGAAGGGTTGCACTGCTCATTACAGCTGTCGCAACCCATTTCCTGTGAGAGCTGGGTTTTGATACATGCAGGTACGCCCACAGCAGTTTCAGGGAGGACCACATGGAAATGGCTGGCATTTACCACAGCCAATCCCGTGGGGCAGATTGTTCTGCACTTTCAGCTGGAAGCTCCTGCCCCCCTCCCCCTGTGGGAGACAATTATTGAATTGAATGAGTGTAATTCCTATGTCCAGCCCTCTGGTGAGGTTCCCCTGCTAGGAGAAAGGTTGGGCCATGAAATAGGCTCATCCAACGGATCCTGCAAACATTTCCCAGACCTGGTTCCTTCTGCAGTACATGTCCTTTCCTCACTCATGGCTTTGCAAGGGCAGGATGTGAGTAGGAAGGGAGAATACATTGAAGGGTAAGCAAAGTTTCTCACAGTGGGGGCAACAGGAGTGCTGTAGATCTGGGGGTTTTTTCCCTACTTCTTACAGGACTGATGTTCGTTAGCAAGATGACAGGTCTGTGCTATATAACATTTCACAAGAAACACACATTGCACACACCTCTCCATTTATACATTCCAGGGTCTGGGGCTTATAATGCCATACCCCAACGCAGAGCACCAGGGCACTAACAGTGCACCGCTCTCCAGCGAACACAAGAGGGCACCACCCACAGCAGAAAAACCCTATCATGGAGAAGCAGTACAGGAAACACGGATCCCCCCACCCCCCCAAAGTCTAAAATGGGGGAGATTAACAATGTGTAGGAAGAACTATGGACACACTCCTCCGCCCGAGTCGTGTGTCCAGTGTGTGACATGCAATAGCCCACCCTCACACACGCGGAAACCTACCCTGCCAGCAGGGAGCCCCCATCCCCACAATGGTGCATCACACCCAAAAGAGAGGCACCAGTGCGAAAAAGGAGAACAAAAAGAAACAGCACTCCAGATCCCCTTGGGGGAAAGAGGGGAGGGGGTCACACCAACGTCCCTGGGGTTGGGTGCTCTGTGGAATCCAAGCTGTAAGGACCAGAAGAATCTTCCAGATAAAGCAGGTCCCCAAAAGGTCTGGACAGGGCAGAGCAGAGCAGAGCAGAGCAGAAAAAGAAAGGGGAGAGAGAAAGAGAAAGAAAGAATTAGACAAAAGGGCAGAAAGGAATCATGCGATAAATGAAAGCGTTTATCTCCAGTTCTGGATCTTTTTACCCCACAGCAATCACAATCCCAGCCCCTCTCCCCTCTTCGGTTCATTAAATTAATCTTTTCCAGCCATCGCAAAGGGCCAAAAAGAACCAGCCTTGCAACCGTCTGCCTTCCAGAGGCTTTAGACCTCAATTCCCATTGTTCCTAGCCAGCAAAGGGGTGGTGAGTTAGGGAAGGCTGCTATAAAAGGATGCCCGCCTCCTTTCCTTCTCTTCCCCACCCAGGTCTTTCAAACAGCGTGAAATTTGCAGCCAGAGAACCGCAAGGTCGTTCTGAAAAAGGAGGAGTGGAGCCAGGGAAAGAGGGGGAGCGGAAGGAAGAGGCACAGGGTTGGCTTGAGTCAAGCAAGGGAAGGGAAGGGATGGGAAGTGGGGGGTGCTGAGACTGTCAGGGCAAAGGAAGGAATCGGGCCCCATACCTGCCATAGAGAGGTTGCCCCGCATAGCTCATAGAGTGAGGCAGTCCCCCTGGCCCCCCGTAATATCCCATATCGGGGTTGGAGGGTCCCGGATCACAGTAGCCACGCAGGTGCTGATGTACAGACTGAGATGGTCCCCGTCTCTCGGGTGCCCCTCGTTGGGTGACTCCAGCGTTGCGTAAGTACCAGTCCCGGAGCCCCTCCAGGGCAAGCGCTTTGTGGAAGTTACGGTGAGGGGGTAAGGGGGGTCCGTAACCAACCTCACGGGACTGTGGAGGCAGCAACGGCCCACAGGATTTAGTGCGCGCGGCGGGCCGGGCTCGGCGCTGAAGCGGGCTTTCAGAAAAGGCTCCCCACTCCAGCTGGGGGGGCCCATCCCTGCGAGACAGATGCTCGCCACCCCCACCGCACCGACGTTCCAGGTAGTAGTCGAACAGGAGATCGTTGTAAGGCGGGCGAGGGCTCCGGCCAGAGATGGAAGGGGTCAGGGCCTCGGCACTCTTAAAAGGGGGGGCAGAGGGCAGGAGGGGGTCCTCCGAAGGGGCCCGTTCAATCAAGGCCTCGGAGCTGTTGCTTCGACGGGTCCGAGCAGCAAAGAGAGAAGCCCTATCAGCACTGGTGTCCCGGCTCGGGGGGCCAAGCTGGGAATCGTGGCTGCCTGACCACTGGCGGGAGTGGAGAGATGGGGCCTCTGACCTGGGAGAGAGCAGAGGATAAATTACTGCTTTCAATGTTACACTGGATATCTGTGAAATAAGATTGCAATCATATGCATTATTTTGGGGGGCGGGGGTAAGAGTCTTCTGTATATCCAAATATCCATCTTTAGAGGAGTCTGCCTGTTGCATCTCAGTGTGCAAATCAGCTGGTGTGGCCTTGCTTCCTTTTCAGTTTAC